GCGCTGGCTTTCCACAGCCCAGCACGACTGAAACGTCCTCCCTCTGTTCCTCTCTTGGGTCAGCACAGACATGCAAGGACATCGGTAGCCATGCTCAGTACACCTGTGGCCAGCGAGTGGGTCTGTGTGCTGTGTGCTGGGCCCTGTCTGCAGAGCTGAGTGCTCCCTGCATTGCCTCATCTTCAAGCTATGGTTGAAACTAAAGGTAGAAGGCAGCAAGGTGCCTCGGTGGGTTCTGGCACCCGTTGCCAGGCCTGGCCATCCAAGTGCAGTCGCACGTGTTAGAAAGAGGGCGCCGATGGGTGGAAGGAGAGAACTGGCTCCCACAGGCACATCATGACATCTCCCCCTCCCCAGGCACAACACGGAAATAAAAGTGTGATCTTTACTTTAAAGTGGATGTCGGGTCAAAGCAGTGAGGTCAGAAACACCAGAAAAGATAAATGAGAAGGCTTGTATCTGGGGAGGAGATATCCTATCCAAGCTAACTGATAGCAGGAAATAAAAAAAAATTAAGAGTGTCCTGGCAAGTTTCATCCCAGCTACTCCTAGCCAGCCCTTCCCTGGGGAGTGTGCACAGAGCACCAGTACCCTTTAACCAAGTAAATTTACCTTTGTGGACGGTTACACTTTAGACGTGTTATAAGGCATGGAGATGAAACAGACTGAACTGAGGTAAGCTTCTGGAAGAGCTGCCTGTTCCAGGGAGGGGGCCATCCCCAGCCCTTCCTCAGAGTGGGCAAGGAGACAAACAGAACTCAGAGATTCCAACTGCAGGGCTTAAGACAAATGAGGGCTTAATTCCCAAGATTTCCTCCCACTCTTGTGACAAAAGTCACTGGAATTTTTATCTCCCCTATAGCTCAGGAAAGTTAAGTGTAGTGTGAACAAGGAGAGTTTTGTTGTTTGTTTGTTTCTTCAAGCTCCACACAGCTGCTGGAGCCTACAGCACCTAGAGTCTTACACACACACATTGGACCCAGGAAACAAACTGTTGAGGGAGACACGAGCAAATGTTTGGGGTTAGAACACAAAAACTCAAACCCCCTGGAACAGGATCGGTGTGAGGCAGTCATGGCCCCGGCTTGGAGGCTGCGCTGTCCAGTGAGCCCCCACCGTGGGAAGCCATACAGGCCGCTTGTGTGCCCAGAAACAAAGATGGCCCATCAGTGAGTGCCTTATCAGTCGATAAGCCTGTGCTCTGAAGTGAACAGAAAGCTCACAGCACGGGATGTTGGAGGGGCGTCTTCCTACCAGGTCTCCTGAGAGGTTGTCGAGAAGGGTGGGTGCCTTAGAACAAACCACCGGACGGACCTGTGCCCCAAGCCCTGAATCTGGGGAGAGTGTTGTCAGCGCTGGGACATTGGCTGTAGCACCTTCAGCTGAATAAATTAGCATCGGTTGATCAATGAGGGTTAAGGGATGCACATCAGGTCATGACAGGACCCATGAGCCTGAGGCATTGTGGTAAAAGCATTCACTGGACAAGAGGCGAGAGAAAAGTTTAAATTATTGACTTATTTATTTGTGTATGTGTGGGGCAAGAAAGCGTGGATGTCATAGGACCACTTACGACTTTCTCTCCCCCACCCCACCATGCGGGTCCTCCCAGTCATCAGGCTTGGAAACAAGTGCCTTCACCACTGAGTCATCTCACCATCCATAAGAGTTTTAATAGTGAGCAGACACACAGGGCAAACTTTGAGGGAGGAGAGGGAGGGAGAGAGAGAGACAGAGACACAGAGAGAGAGAGAGAAGGAGGGAGGAAAAGAGAGAGACAGAGAAGGGGAGGAAGGGAGGGAAGGAGAGAGACAGACAGAGAGAGGGAAGGAGAGAGAGAGAAAGGGAGGGAGACGGAGAGGGAGAGAGGGAGGGAGATGGAGACAGAGACACAGAGAATTGCCTCTCTGAGAGGAAATAGGTCTCTGTTATGGCAGTTAAAGTTAGCTGGCCTTGCTCCCACTTGCGTGGGGTGTGTCTGAGTAGAAGTCGAGAGGGCAGCTCCCTATCTTGCTGCGCAGTACATGTCATAGTGCCACCTGCTCTGCTCTGAAGCCATGTGGAGTGGGGCCCCAGGGTCTCTAGGAGTAAGGCCTGACGGAGTCACCACAAGCCACTGGGTCCGGCGGATAGAAAGTGTCCATTTTATTTTTGGTCCTTTCATTTGGAAACTTTACATCACTCTCCGGAAACTCCCTTTGTGACAAGTTTGCGATGAGACTTGACAACATCTGGCCACTTTCCAAATTCTGTTGTTACTCACACTCTCTAGTCCGCTTGCCCAGTCTGTTCTACCACTCCAGGTGTTCTGGGACCCATATGCTGGCAGCAGAAAGGAAGCAGAGAGCACACCATCCTAAGGATATGAGTAGGAACCGAATACCCAGTAATGGGATGGATGAGTATAAGGAGAGTCATTGCCACGTGATGGTATCATAAACAGCTGTCTAAAACTATGATTTTGGTGACTAGTTGATGACAGTGGTTGATAAGCTTATATGATGTTGATGAGCTCATAAACATTGATAAGCTTATAAAACGCTGGTTTCAACTGATAGACGGGGCTCGTTACATATGCTTCTCTAGCCAAAATGGGCCTAAGGAGAACATCACACAAGTCCCTAAGCCAATCGCTACCTAAGCATCACGTGAGCGGTCCCCAGCGGAGGCCCACCGTGGCACAGGGAGGCACAGTGAAGACAGGCACCTCTGAGCCGCCTGGGGAGGCTGCTGGCTGATGTCCAGGAGTACACCAGAAGGGCAGTGAGTCATCTCAAACCACGTGAACCCTGTGTTTCTGGCTTCATCCTGTGAAAGAGCATTCGGCCCCTTCCAGGAAGGGGCTGCAGACGGAAAGGGAGCTTGCCCCTAGAGTCCCAGGGGAGGAAGTCTGCCCTCACTGCTGAGCTTCCCAGGAGTCGCCTCAACTCTCCAGAAATGAGTGTTCTCTGCATTTCTTAGAATTTCCAAGCATTTTTTGAAATGACAGTTCTTGATTATAATTCATAGCCCACATAACTCATGCATTTCAGGTATAAAACTCAGTGGTTTTTAAATATAATGCAGCCATCACCTCCATCAATGTCTACTGTTTATGCGTCTGTTTTTGTTGCGGTGTTTTGTTTCTGAGACAGAGTCTCTCTGTGTAGCCCTGGCTGTCCTGCAACTATGTAGACCAAGCTGTCATTAAACTCAAAGAGATCTGCCTCTCAAGTGCTAGGCTTGAAGGTGTATATGACCATGCCTGCTCTAGTAGTTTTTAAAATCTATCGTCCCCAGTCACTGCCCACGCCCTGCCCACAAACGCATAGACAACCACTAGTAGGCTGTCTACCACCTGCATATCCAGGACAGTAACATGTAAATAAAGATCAATTATACTACCCATAGTCTCTTGTTATTGGCTTTCTCACCTAGCGTCATCTTGTACCAAGTAATAGTTCATTGTATGAGCATGTTTTCCTTGGCCATTCCCCATATATAAACCTTGGATGTCTTTGGAGATTCGACCTGTTGTCTGTAATGTTAGCTGTGTTTGTCACCGTGTCTTCTGTGGGCCAGGCTAATCCCTATCGCTGGCAACAACCCAGGGAGACAACTCTTTCTCCCATTATGATAGAGGAGAGGAGATGTGGAGGTGAAGTGGTCATCCAGGATCATACTAATAAGTGGCAGAGCTGGGTCTCTCGGGGCACCCCATTTAAACCCTCCTGCCCGGGACTCTTGCTTCCTTCCGATTGGCAATAAGGCTGTAACAAGGGAGAATCCATCACCCAATGGCCACTCCCTCTATGTGCTGACAAGTTTTAGGTCAGCTCAATGCAGGCTAGTCAACTGAAGGGAGGGAGCATCAAATGCTTCAGTAGGATCAGCTTTGGGCACTCTATAGTTAGGAGCCCGGCCACTGGGGTTGTACTATCTTTGGGCTTGTGCTCCTGGGTTCTATAAAAAAGCAGGGTGAACGAGCCATGAGGAGCAAGCCAAGCAGCCCCTCTCCATGGCCTCTGCCTCAGCTCCTGCCTCCAGGTTCCTGCTCTGTTTGAGTTTCTGCCCTGACTTCCTTCATTGATGGACTATGATGTGGAAGTGTAAGCTGAATAAACTCTTTTCTCCCCAACTTGCTTTTGGTCATAGCAATAGTAACTCTAAGACGTTCTAGCCTTTAACTGACACCTGTATACAGCAAGCACATGGCAGGCACGCCATCAAGTTCAGCCCAGATTCTGTCTCAAAGTTTTGCTACCCTAGGCAAGCAGTCTGATGCTGATGGGTTGTTCTCCATTTTCGAGTCCTGATTCTCAGCGAGGGTCTGAAGCTCGGCTTCTGAATGAAGAACGGGGTTCCATTTCTCCCAGGGGCAGCTGGAGTGCTTTAGAGCGAGGCCCACATGCTTGGCTGGGGTGTGGAAAAGGGTTTCCATAGAGTGCTACAGTTTAGCTCTTTTAGCATGAGATTGCCTGCTCTGGCGTTCCAAAGCCTGTGTCGATACCAAGTGTTACCTCTTGGTTAAGTTGCTGTACCCGTGGAAGCCCATGCCTGGTCGTCTGAGGCACAAGCCTGGCAAGGCCCAGGCCCAGAGGGCTGGAGGCAGACCAGAGGCTACACAGAGGAATAGTGTACAGACACAGAAACAGGAGCCTTGGTCCATAACATGGACTGTGCTCCCCTGAGGGTGGACTCTGTGACTCTGGTTGTGGGCTTTCCCAGGGGCTGCCGACAGAACTGAGACTTCTCCTGGGACCATCTGAATACTACTAGTGCTGTGAGTTAGGCACCCAGGGTGTTTCCTGAGGTGCTCTGAGCGCTCACGTCCCAACACCCCGAGGCTTGTCCCACCCGTGCCCCAATTCGGTGCCAAGCTGCCATGCTATGGCGTGCAGCTGGAGCCCTCCAGCTCCACCCTGCCCCCAGTCCCCAACAGTGACACCTGCCCACAAATGAACCCACACACATGTGCACGGGTCTATGTGAACATAGACCCATGGAGGTAGAAGCAGTAGTTGCCTTAAATACAGACTTTATTATTGTATAAAATGATTCCCTAGAAAATTATTTAGTTCATGTGTATGGATGTTTTGTCTGCATATGTGTCTGTGCACAAGCACGCAGTGCCCATGGAGGGAGAGTTAGTTTATGAACCACCATTTGGGTGCGAGATATCAAACCCAGGCCCTCTGGAAGAGCAGTTAGTGCTCCTAAGAGCTAGTCTACCTCTCCAGCCCCGAGACATTAATATATATATATATATATATATACACATATATATACATACATACATATATATAATGCCCTAAGTCAATAAATCTCCCTCTTCCTGAAGAGGAGACACACACAGGCGATAGCGAAGAATGTCCAAAATCTTTCTGGCTAAGCAGTCAGCTGTTTCGCAAGCCCTTTAGGACAGCGTGACTTTATGACATCTCCCTCCCTTTCGGTGAGCTCTGCTGAGGCTGTGTAGGGAGTCACTTCTGCTCCCAAACGAAGAATTTACAAGAGGCTTCGCTTTGGCTCAGCGTGAAGACAAGCCACTGAAATTCCATTCTTGATGAACAAAGGTCCTGGATGGCGGTTAAATGCCTTGTTTGTTTGTTTAAGGTATGTCTGCCTGCTACAGTTCTCCTGGATGGGCAAAGTCGTTGTGGACACCGGACAGTCAAAGGCGAGCAATGATCAGGAAAGGCATCTTTAAGGTTAGAGGGCAGGGCTTCTGGGCTGGGAGATCATGGATGATTTTGTCCTCTCAGCACGGCACTCACGGTACACCAGGAAGGGATGGGCCAAAGTCAGGAAAATGGCAAGTCCCATCGACACCTGGGGAAACAGGAGGGAGTGACTCGAGTCCAGTACTCCAAGCAGTGGTCACCAGCAGAATGACTAAAGTCTATATAGCCCACTTTGCACCCCAGCACCAACCTGACCTGAAGAACATGCGGCTTATTTTTGTAATTTTCTTTTCTCTCTTTCTTGGGACCAGTCTCTGTGGCTCAGGATGACCTTGAAAGTATAACCCACCTTCCCAAGGGCTAGAAATATAGGCATGGACCACCACATGTGACTTACTCGTGTTAATCCTGTGACCTTGGGAAGCCCCAGCTTGAGTCAGGTTTCTGCCTGTGACCCCAGCTTGAAAAGTAAAACCCTCAAGGTTCTGTTTCTGCTCTACTGAAGAGGCTAACACAGTCAGGCCTCCTGAGCCAGCTTAGGGCGCCCCCTGCTGGAGCCCTAAGCAGTAGGTCCAGCCTGGGTATCCTTTCTAGCCAGGGGCGTGCCACACACAGCCCGGCGGAAGCAGTCCCTGTGTGGTACTCACATATACAGCGGTGCTCTGTGGGGAGACTTTGAACAGAGGAAACTGTAGCAGAGACACGACGGCTGACAAGGCCATCACCAGCCCAAAGAGCTTTCCAAAATGCTCTGCAGGGAAACTAGAGAGAGATAACAGGTTTCAGTGAGTTTTTCTAACACTCCCGGCATGCCCTACCCCCAGCTCTAAGCAGGGACCTGGTATTTGAGAAGGCTTATTGGCCAGCTGCGCTGTCATCTACCCACACAAGCCCTTCCTTCTTCCTCCCATTCTGCTTGATCCTTCTAACCATAAGACACAGAGGAGGCATGGTACCAGGCCCTGTGGGAAGAAAAGCCAGGCTCCGGCTGTGCCTGGGAAGGCCTTAAGGAAAAGATAGATGCAGTCGAAGGAAGCAAGGACAGAGTGCCAAAGACACAAGGAAGGGAAAGTACCTTTCTAAGTCTTCTCTGGAAGAGTGTGAACAGAAACGGGCAGTGGAGGGCAGTTGAGGGCAGTTAGAGTGGACCAGGTAGACAGAGAGCCTCACTGAATCACTGGCGTGTGAATGTTCCGTCTTCCCACCTGTGTCCATCTCCAGCCATCTCCACTTCCACAAGTGACCTTGCCTGGCCACCTCCCGACCTGTCTCAGCCCACAGTTTCCTCACTGCCAGCCCGCTTCCCTTTTCCCAAGCTCACTTACGCCATCGTGAGGAAGGCAGCGTTGCACCCGTAGAGGAAGGAGCGGTTGATCACTTGCAGGATGAAGGTGGCATACAGCAGCTGGATGACAGGAATGGAGGCACACAAGAGAAAGCCCAGGCACAGCAGGGACGTCAGGGCCAACGAAGGCACTGTGGAGCAGAGAGCTGCGGCCTCGAAGGAGGAGCCTGGTTCAGAAGGGAAGAGAGGTGCCTGGAGCTGAGCCCACGGGAGCGTAGGAAAAGCCAAGAGAGGTCATAACCAGGTCACACATCAGCTCCAGCTCCTCAGTGTTGATGGCTGCCCTCCTACATGCCAGCCATGTGTGCCTGCTCGTCTAAGTTCCCCGGGCTCCCTAACCAACTCAAAGATGCAGTAGCCTCTGAACAGGCTCCACACCCAGTCTCATCCCCTGCAAGCCAGAACAGTGATGGCAATGATGAGGATTGGTAATAGCAAAGGACTGGAAACAATCCAAACTGTCACCGACAGTGACACGAACCACATGCCCGCCCTGTAACAGAGGGCTGGACAGCAGTTATAGGGTGAGGAGGGTCTCAGAAACTGTCTTGGAAAAGACAACCACACAACTGTGTGTTCTGCCTTTTACCTAAGAAAGGGAGGCACATAAATATACGTTCGTAGGTGATGACTGTATTTTAAAGAAAAGCAACGAAAGTGCTCACTGAAAGAAATGAGGAAATAAAGGAAAACAAGGAGAGAAGGAACTGTCTTGTTTCTCAGTTTTAGTTCTGAGGAAATGTAAATGCTTAACTTGTGAATGCTTTCAACAAAACTCAAACGGGAAGGAAGCAAGCGAAGCACTCTCAAAAATCAGAAAAAGAAACAAAAAAAGAGTTCAATGAACGTAAGTGTATCCAATTGGACTTGTGTGTATGTACATGTATTACGTGTGTGTGTGTGTGTGTGTGTGTGTGTGTGTGTGTGTGTGTGTGTGTATGTGAGTGTGTGTGTGGGGTCACTGAAGCAAGAGAAAGGCGACTGGAGCGTGCAGAATACCCCTATGAGAATGAATGACATGAAGGCAAGAAAGGAGACTGTTTGGGGGAGGGACTGCAGGAGGGAGGCAGGGCAGAGGGGCAGGAGGGGAGGAAGAGGAAACAGAATGGCGTAGACTGAACATAGGAAATGCCACAACGAAGCCCGCACGATAACTTCAAGTTTTAATTTTAAAAAGGGCGAGCATACAAAGAGAGAGAGATAGACCCATCCTGAAGTCTCCGTTTTTCACTAAGGACCCAAGCCTCGGTGGAGAAACAGGCAGCTCAACAGACCCTAGCAAAGTTCTTGCTGCACTGGAAGGCAAAGCCACTGCCTAAAGCTAAGCCACACCTGAGGGTCCCACACTTTAGACCTTTTAGTGGCCAAAGGTGGGTCAGTGTGAGCCTGAAGAATGGTGAGGACCGCCAAGATGGCTCAGCAAGCAAAGGCGCCTGTCACCAAGCCTGCCAACCCGCGTCCCATCACTGCGGATGGGAGGGGAGAACTGAGCCCCTCAAGTTGGTCTCTAACTTTCGAAAGGGCACCCTGGCATGCACCTACACCCACACAGAAAATAAACAGGAGAAATTGCTTTAAGCTAGGTATGGTAGCCCACGCTTTTAATCCCAGCACTCAGGAAGCAGAGGCTGGTAGATCTTTATGAGTTCAAAGCCAGCCCTTGTCTACACAGTGAGTTCCAAGCCAGCCAGGGCTACATGGAGGGGGCCTGTTTCAAAATCTAAAAACACACAGAAGCTTCTGATAATGGTGAGGACCGGACTGTGGTTCAAAGGAAGAGTGCTTGCAGAGCACGGAGCACAGGAGAAGTCTCCAGCACTAAGAGGGAGGCGGAGCAGAGCAGATAGGAGCATGTCAGACACACTATGGTACTTAAACTTTTTTTTTTTTTTTTTTTTTTTTTTTTTTTTTTCAAAAAAAGCAATCATCCCTCAAAATCATGTAAGATTCTCTCATGGTCTCCACATATGAAATTTTCAAAAATAAAGTTTTTTAAAACAAAAATATTTTTTAAAAACCCAGACACAAAATGAGACCACTGGGCTGCGGTGTGTAGCCAGCTGGGCTCTAAGGACGCAGCCATTCCATTTGTCTCTGGTGGGATGAGGAGAAGCTGTGCCGTTCTGGAACTGGTTAAGCGAAGGAGAAAGGCAAGTGTTTACTTCAGCGTAAAGAAACAATGGAGGAGGAGTCATAGCTGCTAAAAGCTGGAGGAAAGATGAAAATAGCACCCTAATCAAATCACAGGTCTCAAATTGACCACAGTGGTTGCAAAATCATTAGCTGCTTAGGCTGATGGGAAGCGTTATGAACGATGAGCCAGACTAAGTTCTGAAGCGAATGATCCATCTCAGCGTCGTAACAGCAGAGACAGCAAATAGCAGCGGCCTGCAAGGGAACCGGAGAAAGGCCACAACTCCGTTTCTATTTACTCTTGCCAAAAAGAAAATTGAGTCTCCTCCAAGCTTCGAAGCTGCCTGTTTACAGGAAACGCCCAATCAAAAGAACCCATTCATGAAATACCCAAAGGATGCCAAGTCCAATGTGGGAACTCTGACAGGAAAAATACCCACTTTCTTCAACAAATAAACAAGAAGGGGAGGGGCGCTGACGTAAACCGTCGAGAAATGGAACTGGGCTGTAACTCAGTGGTAAAGCATTCGCTCGGCACGCATGAGGATTGGGGAGAGTCTGTTAGCTGGGCACTTGACAGCAGAAAGATCAGAAGTTCAAGGCCATCCTTAACTACATAGTGAGTTCAAGGCCAGCCTGGTAACATAGTAACTTGAAGGCTAGCCTAAACTAGATGAGACCCTGTCTTAAATAAGTAAATATTAAATATATATATGTGTATGTATATATATATATATATATATATATATATATATATATGTATATAGAAATGCAGAATGCACATCAATTGAATTTTGTCCTTTCAACTTTGTGTGGACTTTGTATGGATACACTGGAAAAAAATCAGTCATGAAACAACGTGCTGAGGACAACCAGGAAGACGTGAGAACTAGCTGCATATTAGAAAATACTAAGAAAATGTTGGGATTTCCATGGAGATGCTGACTGCAGAGAGGCTGTTTTTGTTAAGGAGCGCCTTGACTTCAACACTGTAGCAGGGTTAGGTGCAGAGGGCTGAGAAGGGCGTAGACCAGGCCAACGGTACCTGGTTAACCCTCCCCCCAGCTGGGAGTGAAACACCCCAGCACCCCTCTGCTCTGCCGACCACACCCAAAGGATCGCATTCTAACCCTGAGGCTTGGTGAGCAGCCTGCCGCCTTCTCACGCTCTCCGGCTTTCCCACACCTCCCCTGCACTCTGCGTTCTGCTTCATTTGCATCACGCGCTGAAAGGATGCAGCTTCCTGAAGGCCTACTCTGTCAGCCCCGCCATGCCATCGCTCTTCAGCCACCACAGCTCGTCTCCTTTTCCTCCCTTCCTCATCTTTTCCATCTGGTTTAGGTGACACCGCCTCCAAGAAGCCTCACCCAGAACAGGTAGTGTTCACAGCCCTCTGTGTGTTCACAGCCCTCTCTGCGTGTTCATGCTGTATGCTTCCAGAGGTGCCCTGACTCACAGTCTATATCCAGAAAAACTGCCGGAGGCCAAAAATACCAGCAAGTTAAAAATGTATTTAACGTACCTAGCCCATGGGGTATCACGGTTCGGTGTACGGTAGCTCAGATATGCTCAGAGCACTTCACATCACCTGGGCAGAACCGCCTAACAGAAAACCTACTATACAATAATGCACTGAATATCTCGTGTGATTTGTGGACAATGAAAGTAGGAAAATGGGGGCTGGAGAGATGGCTCAGAGGTAAGAGCACTGGCTGCTCTTCTAAAGGTCCTGAGTTTAAGTCCCAGCAACCACCCATAATGAGATCTGATGCCCTCTTCTGGTGTGTGAGAAGATGGAGCACTCATATATAAAATAAATAAATTTTTTTAATGTTAAAAAAAAGAAAGAAAGAAAGTAGGAAAACAGAATGTCTGTGTGGGTGTGGCTTGCCTCGTCACGGAATCAGCCGTCCGCCAGTCACAGGCCATCTGTACTTTGTGGATTGTAACTACCTGACTACCTTTCTCTACCTGCTGGATAAGGAACAGCTTAAGAAGACAAGACGAGCCTGTCTCAGCCACTGTTAAGGGTCTGAACCACGGGCGACACGAAGTGTACAGCCAAGGATGGAACGGACGCACGAACCAGCACAGGAAGAAGGGTCAGGAGATCCCTGCAGAAGCCTGTGAAAACCTCCCCTCCTGGCTCCCTCGCCATCTTACCTGTCTTTTTGGCTTCCTTCTGATATTTCTGTTTAAGGCAGTCCATGAGTAAGCCGTTCCAGGGGGCACACAGCACCCCAAAAAACTGGGTGATGGCAAAGGCGTTTGTGAACGTACTGACTTGTGGCCCGAAAGGCGTAGAGCAGGGTTGGATGAGAAGAGATTTCCAGGTTAATTTACAAGAGAAGGCTCTCCCTTCTGGCCTTTCTCTTCTCCAGCCCTCCTCCCCAGCCCTCTGAAACCCCCTAGAGCACACAGCTTTGCTGGCACAGCGCACACTCCTGAGTCCCTGGGGTCCTGTGTCCCTACCTGAGACCTATGGAAAGGCAGCTCTGAAGCCCACATACCTTGCACACTGTTCCCGCCAGCCAGGGTGGTGAGGAGAGAGTTGAGCGTGCCAATGAACAGGTAATGCCAGAGCTGTATGACAGACAGCCACAGCACGTGCAAGAAGAATCGGCGAGAGAGCACGCAGCTTCGAAAAGAGGCCGTGTGCTGAGGCTGCTGCTGCTGCTCCGGCCCAGAGTTCTCTGCTGGGGAAGAGGAAGGGCTGGATGGGCCAGAGGGGCCCTGGACAACACAGGCTCAGGCCTAAGTTCTCGTCTTTCCTGCCTTCTCTGAGCTGCTGAAACTCCCCCACCTCCACCCCCAACCACGCTGTGTCATCCTGCTCTTCCACCTTGGATGGCTGTCCCGCTGTTCCTCAGTGTCCTGAAAACTGATCTTTCTCTCCCAGCCTGCTCAGTGACACTCCCAGCTGTAGTAGCTTCCTGATCTTTCTCAGCCACAGTGGTGAAATGACAGACAAGATGAGCATTGGGACAGAGTGAGCACTAGTGATGGACTGGTCTGCTTTGTGTCCCCTGCATTTCTTTTGCACTCAGAATCCCTTGTTTCCCTAGGACTCCCTTGTTATCCCTGGTCCAGTTGTGACCTTGAATTAAACGTTCTATTCCTTACCCAGCTGACCAATTTACTCCTCCCTACGCAGGTAGGCTGGCTAAGGCTTTAGAATACATGGAACGCCTGAGGCAGCCTGGTTTCACACCTCTGAAGCCTGGCAGGTTCACTTTCCTCTTGATCATGTGAGCCTTCCACAGTTCTCTTACTCTTTTTATGGTCTGAGACAGGGTCTTACGTAGTGCAGACTGACCTGGAACTCATGTGTAGCTAGGGTTGACCCTGACCCTCTGGTTCTCGCTTCCACTCTGATCAGTCCCACAGCGCTGGGACTGAAGCAGTGCTTCACACACGCTCAGCGAGGACTCTACTGAGCCACACCCCTGGCCCCGTTCCTTTTCTTCCTTAACAAATAACTTTTATTGTGTGTATTTAAGGCATACAACACGCTGTCATCGGGTACATATAGATGGTAAAATGGTTGCCATAGCAAAGCAAATTAACATATCCATCATCTCACATTGTTGCCCATTTTTTGTGTGTGCCAAGAACAGCTAAAATCTGCTCATATAGGAAAAAAAAAATCTCAAATACAATGTAATTCTATTAACTGCCCTGCTCTGGAAACTGCTTTCTCCTGCCCAGCTGCTACTTCTGCCCTATGACCTGCCTCTCTTCAACCCCTCCCTCTTCCTCCTCCTATTTTTACTTCTACTGTAGCTAGCAATGGTTTATAATATTCATAACCAAAGATCCAGAGCAGACAGAGGAGGGAAAAGATGAAGGGATGGAAATGGTACAGACGCATAGAGGTCAGATCCAAGAGACATAAAGAAACAGAAACACAGATACCAGCCTTGGTGCCCTAGAAGCCAGGAGAGGGCAAGGCCGGGCTGTGTGGGATGAGGCCAATGAAGGCAGACTTCAGTGTAAGGAGCATTGAGGTATGCGGATAACGTAAGAACGAGGCATTGACAAGACACAAGGCCTGCCCTATTGGGACCCTCTCTACATGAGGGGATCGAGAAGAAGTGCATGCTCCTGCATGCCTGGCCTGACTGCAGCCTGAGCCCCCGGGAAGGCTTCCTGGAGTTCAGGGCAGATGAGAAGCCACCCAGGCACAGGACTGCTGGCAGCTGCAGGGGGCATGGGTGAACCAGAACTCACCTTCCTTTGGTGAAAGAAATTCCTTTGACTGCAGCTCCTTGATTCCATGCTCAGCCACTTTCTTCTCTTCCTTTCTGGCACCAAACCTGGAGCACAAGCTGTGGAAATGGAAGGCCCAGAAGCCAGGCTAAGAACTGTGAGCTGGACCGAAGCAGAGGGTCCTCGTCCTGCTGCACATGGAACCACTTTTGAGCAACCAAGTGGCAGCCTGGGCCAGTTAAATCGGAATGTCTACTGGCTAGCAGCCAGGTTTACAATTTTCCTTTTGTGTGTGTGTGTGTGTGTGTGTGTGTGTGTGTGTGTGTGTGTGAAGATCTGATTGACTCTCATAAACAGACAGGTTTGGGGTACCCTGGAAGTATGGAGGAAGAGACTGACTCCTGCTCCAAGTCTCAGCTCTGACTTTCTCACACGGCCACCCTCAGAGCCTCAGGTGGAACACGAAGGCTTGTGACCATGAGAATGATATCAGAGTGCACGTGGGGCACAGCCAGCTGCAAGTGGGCAGCAAATGAAGATGCCCCCTATAACTGATGCCAACGTGACTACGGCTTCGCCTCCTCTGTCTCTATCCTTGGCAGTGGGAGTCTGCCTGTTCCTGTCCCCACCTTGGCTAGACATGTGAGCTGCTTCAGCCAAGACCATGAAGCAAACAAGTGACACATCAACTCCAAGTCGAAGCGTCAGAGAACATGTCTGTGCATTTCTATCTTCTCTCTGAACCCCAGATCCACTATGTGCACACACCCAAGTAAACCTGCTGGAGCACTAGCCTGTGACACAGACATTCCTGTCACTCCAAACCCAGTGTAAGCAAACCCATACCAACCAGCCAACTCCCTGCTAACACATCAAATGATCAAAGGCATAAGTGATAAGCTCATCCAAGTCTGGCTGCAACGTAAGAAATAAATTCTTAGGAACTGGAGAGATGGCTCAGCCGTCAGGACGTTCTGCTGCTCTGGAGGATCCAGGCTTGGTTCCCAGTACCCATATGGCAGCTCATACCATCTGTGACTCCAATTCTAGGGGACCCTTTTCTGACCTCCATGAACACCAAGCACATCCATGGTATACATGCATTTACACAGGCAAAACACTCATACACATAAAATGAAAATAAGTGAATCTTTGAAAAAAATAGGAAAGAAACAACGAGAGGAAGAAATGCTTAGTATCCTTGCTGTGCAGGAGTCGCTAACTATGAGCTCTTCTCCTACAGCAGGTTCAATCATCCTTCTTCCTACTTAGCTCAGACGGGAACCGGCCGGCCATGCTTACCCATAGCTGTAGCTGGGGGGAAGTGGGAAGGGGATGTGTCCCCGGGGCATCAGGAGGAAAGTCCGCCCAACGTGCCAGGCACTGCACACAGACAGGAAGAGGAAGGAAGCCCTGAGGCTGACGCCCCGCTCGTAAAGAAGCTGCAGAGAAAAGAACACATCAGCGTAACCACAAGAGCATAACAGACCTTGCCAACAGTGCAGAGAAACCCCAGTGTCTGTAGATGGGCGAATAAATGAACAAACGTGCTATGGCCACTTGACAGAGTATAATATTCAGCCTTTAAAAGGGAGGAATAAGATGGCACCCAGCACAACAGAGACAAACCTTGAGAACAGACATCGAGTGAAGATAGCCAGTCCCAAAAAGACAAATTCTGTCTCGTTCTACTTACAAGACATTCCTGGGACAGTTGGACTCATAGAAAGTAGGATGGCCGTTTCCAGAGGCTGGAAACAGGGATGGGAAGAATGTGGAGCTTGTGTTTCATGGGTACAGGGTTCCAGTTTTATAGGGTGAACTTTCTGGAGACGGATGATGGTCTCCAGCATAGGGTTGCACCGCAGCAGAAATGTGTGCAAACTACTAACCTGTACACTTAACACATCATGGGTTCCGGGTCAGCAAGACGGCTGGGAGGGTAAAGCTGCCTGCTGGCACCCTGGTGACCTGAGTTCAACCCCACAGCCCATACGGTGGATAGAGTCCCACAAGTTGTCTTCTCCTCCACAGGCATGTTGTCACACGCACACACACTACATCCAGAAACAAGTTTTAAAACTTTTATGCTATATGTGTTTTATCATGTGTGAAAAGTGTAGGAGGCAGACGCTGAAAGCCGCATTTCCAAAGCCTAAGCCTCCTGCCTGCCCTCCTGCAGCTATACAAAGATCCCGGTCCTCATGTCCCTTCACCCAGGGCCCCGTGGCAGCAGGGGAGCCATCTTGAGCTGGCCTTACAATCTGTGGAGCCTCCTCACACAACTCCCAGAGATCACTTAGCATAAAGCTATTTCTTCCCCAATAACAAGCCGTTCTTCTGGCCAACCCTTCACATGAGAGCTCATCTTACAAAACACCTCCGTGGGGAGCTGAAGGACCACCCTTCCCTGTGCGCTCCTGGGCGAGTCCCCTCACAAAAGGAACCTCTAAAGTCCTCAACTTCCAGGTTAGAGACCACAAATGGTGACGGGGGTGACACTGAGGTCTGGAGAAGGAAGATGGCCACACGGGAAGCAAATGAGTCAGCTCCTGCTCCAGGTCCTCCCTTCCACCTCCAAAGCCTTACCTGGGAAGGAAAGAGAACCTGGAAAATGCCTCCTGCACCACCAGCAGAGGGTCTAGAGAGCCCAGAGAATCACACCCTCTACGCAAGGTGCTCTAAATGACGTTCGTGAGCCCGAGGGGTCCAACCCAGGTTGGGCGGCTTAGGGTCCAGCATTTTTCACTCTGGTTACTCACACTGTGTTCCAGTCTGTTGCCTCACAAAGTGTGGCTTACTACAGTGTCCTAACACCTTCCTTCCCACTGCAGGCTTCAGAGAGGAAGAAGAGAGGGAGACAAAGAAGAAGGCTTTTGTTTTGACGCAGGTTCTGAGGCAGGCCAGGCAGGCTTCAGGCTCGCTGGATTAGATGACCTTGAACTTCTGGTCCCCCTCGTGCTGGGATTACAGGCATGCTCCGAAGCTTGATTGTGCAGTGCTGGAGGCTGAACTCCAGGCTTTGTGCATGCGAGGCAGGCATCCTAACAACTGAGTTAGTGCCCAGCCTATTGGTTTTCTTTCTACTCTGCTTTCACCCTCCTTCAAGGAGGAAACACCCCCTGAAGTTCGGCTCTATACACCCACTTTATCTCCCTGCAAGGGCTGTATGCCATGCACGCTCTATGTGTCTCTGGTAGCAGAGACAGAGATCACCAGCTAGCTTACACCAGTCAGAACTCATCCCACTGGTTCTGGCAAAATACTAGCCAGATAACTCTGTTAGCATCCGACTTAGCAAACACCAAAATCACTAGCAAAGCCAGGTGATTCCTGCCTGTGGCCTCAGCCCTGGAGAGCTTAAGGCAAACAGATTGAGAGTTTGAGGCTAGCCTGGGCTACAAGATTCAGTCCAGCCTGCCCTACACAGTCAGACGCTGTCTCAAAAACAAATTAATTGAAGTGAGGTGTCATGGTACACATCTATAATCCCAGCACTCAGAAGGCTAAGGAAGAAAGATCATGAGTTTGAGTTTGAGTATTGGGCCAGCTTAAGAGGCCTTGTCTTAAATAATGATAACAACTGATGTAATTTAATTTAAAAAAAAATCAGAGAATGGTTGTTAGAGGGTCACTAATATCCGTGCCAACACTTTGTCCTCCTGACATGACTAGCCCTTGGGAGAGATAGAGAGGCCCCTGTGTAGTCTCTAAGGCCCTCACTAACCCTTTCCATTCTGTTTTGCAAAGCGGAAGCACACATCAGCAAACGCCGCCTTTTACAGAGTTCCTAGTTTCTGTCCTTCCCTGACCCAAGGGATGCCATGACCACATCTTCCTTCCTCACTGAGCAAAGACTGTAAGCTTAGTGTGAAGAGGGAGCTTAGCAGTCGCCAGCTTAGCTCTAGAAACAAGCAGGCCTAAGTACAGGTTCAAACGCCACAGGGCCGGGCACAGAGGCTGGCAAGCTAAGACTCGATGGACTGTGCCGCCTGCACTGAAGGCTGGAAGAAGCCACACAGGGCTCACAGGACAAGTGCCTGGACTAAGTAAAGGCTCGAGGGCTGAGGAAATGTTGAGTAAGAGCACACTCTGTGTGCAGATGCGTGTGTGTGAAAGTGTGTGGAGGCCAGAGGCCAGCCTTGGGTACCATCCTCAGAAGAAAGGGTCTCTCATTGGCCTTGGGACTGGCCACGTAAACTAAGCTAGCCCCAGAGATTTGCCTGCTTCCAACACCCCACGCTGGGATTACACGCATACCAGGACACTGAGCTTTTTCACTCGGGTCCCAAGAGTCTAACTCGGGACTCGCGCTCACACACATAGCAGGCACTTTCCTGACTGGGCCACCAGCCCCAGCCACTGGCATTTTTACCTTAATGATGAGGAAGACTGCTGAGGAGGAGTCAAACGCTCCGTTGTAGAGGGTGATGATGGTTGAACGGTGTTTGCCAAAAAGATTCCCAATCTGAAGAAGACAAGCAGAGCTAACTTATTCCTGAAACAATTATCCTCTCTCCTCAGCACGCAGCACAGGCCAGGCTCGATTAATCCGACCCTCTTACAGCCCAATTCCTCCCACCCTGGCTTGGGTCAACCCCCCTGGAAACAAATGATGCCTGCACCAACCCCAGGCGCCTGGGGTGAGGAGGGGGATGCGGGCTCACACCTGCAGGTTGGTGATGAGAAACAGGATTCCTCCCACAGCGAGCATGGGCATGGCCAGGAAGAGCAGCATGGCTGACTCTGGAACCATAAGAGTCACGGGAGTGGTGAGGTCCTCTCCCCTCTCTCCAGGAGGCTCCACCCCACCAGCTTCAAACTCCCAACAACACAGCAGCTCCGCACTCGTGTCACCAGCCCGAGGGTGTCCTTGGAGGTCTCACTATAGATGGTTGTGAGCCACCATGTGGTTGCTGGGAATTAAACTCAGGACCTCTAAGGAATACTAGTCAGTGCTCTTAACCTCTGAGCCATCTCTCCAGCCTCCAGGCTCATATATTTGAATGCTTGGTCATTGTGGAGTGGCACTACTTAACAGGGATTAGGAGGTGTGGCCTTGGAGTGGGCATGGCCTTGGAGTGGGCGTGGCCTTGTTGGTGGATGTGGCCTTGGAGTGGGTGTGGCCTCGTTGCTGGCCTCGTATAGTATAACTTGGGGATGGACGTTGGAGTTTCAGAAGCCCAAGCCAGGCTTTACGTTTCTTTCCTGCGGCCTGTGGATGCAGCTGTAAACCTCCCAACGACCTCGCCAGCACCACGTCTGCCTGTTTCCCGCCATGCCGACAAAGGACTAGGCCTCTGAAACTGTAAGCCGGCCTCAATGAAATGCATTCTTTATAGGAGTTGCCGTAGCCGAGCGCGGTGGAGCGCGCCTGTGATCCCAGCACTACGGGAGGCAGAGGCAGGCAGATCGCTGTGAGTTTGAGGCCAGCCTGGTCTACAAAAGGAGTCCAGGACAGCCGGGGCTACGCAGAGAAATCCTCTCTCAAAAAACCGAGAGGTGCTGCCGCAAAATTACAAGGAACCTGAGAGGCCTAAGGTAGTCTCCCGGCTTCTGTATAAGTAAACCACACGCCCTCCAAGCACACTCAAGGAAGGACAGCACATGTCTACAACTCAACTAAGTTATAACATGAAGAATGGGGGCTTATTGCTCAAAACTCCCAAATGTAATTGCACACAGAAGTGATAATATAAATAAATAAGGAGACCTATTGCTCAGAGCTCACAAATGTGACTTCTGTGAGACTTGTGTGGAACAAAACAGCCGCTGGTTTGCTGAAAACAAGTGGTGCCAACCTGATAACGTCAGCTGGCCTCGACACAGCTATTACACAACGTGTTTACAGATTTTCATTTCCCAACCCCCCAAATCAAGCCAGCGAATCTGACCCTGGGGAAGAATGTTGGGGGTTACCTCACCTCCAGCCCAGCCACACACCTCTAGGCCCACTTCCCACTGTTTACCTGTGGCCTCAGGCGAATCCCAAGCTGGTGTGTGGCCTCTAGTCTTATCTCACCTATCTATCTCAGTTACTAGTGTAACAGCAGGAGAGGAAAGCAGGCAGACTGGGATGCCCAGATGTTTACAGTAGTAACCTTTGGTAGCAATTTCTTTTTTTTTTTTGGGGGGGGGGGGAGGGGACAGGGTTGTCGATTTTGATTCTGCTAAGTGAAGATATTTTCAAAATTATTGTGCATGTTACAAAAAAAGTAAAACCTGAGAGAACATTTTAATACTGTGTAGACATAACCCTTTCCTCAGTAGGATAAAGTTTTCACAGACAGGCAACAACTCAGCAACTCTTGGGGATTCTTTTCAAATTGTGGACCTCTGAAAACCCCACAAGCCCTTTGCCTCCTGCACCTGGCCCATCCATCCGCTCCCCCATGCCTGTCTCTCCCACCTGTCTGCACTCACCTGCCGAGGTGAAGGCGATGATGAGTGTGGCACAGGTGTAGAAAAATCTGAAACACAGGAGCATCCAATTAAGAGAAGAGACATGAGGGCCAAGCAGGAGGCTGCTAGCCTGGCCTTCAAGAGGAGGTAGAACTTGATGCTATGGTCAGCCAGGGAACTCCAGAGGCATAGCCATGTCTGAGAGGCTCAGCCCCAGAGAAGCCCCCACAGACTGACAGGCTGTCCTGACCCCACAGACAGTAAGTGTGAGAAGAAATCTCAACGGCAAACATGATGAGAACCTAGAATCACCTGGCAACGAGGTGATTAGTTAAGTCACGTGGGCAGCCCCATCTGGACGTGGGCCCGGCTGTTCCCATGGCAGGGGCTCCTGGACAGCATAAAACAGGGAGCGTAAGCCCGGCACCATCCTCTGCTTCACTGCAGATGTGGTGTGAACTGCTCTCTCCAGCCCCTGCCACTGTGACACTTCTGCCATGATGGACCACAACCTGGAACTGTGAAAAAGGGCTTTCTCCCTCAAGTTGCTTCTGTCCAGGGTTTTACCCCAGTGACAGGGTCTAAGGCCAAGCTGGGAAGTCTTGGATAATGAGCTCAACTGACAACACGCTGTGTAAAAGACTCAAGCACAGTGGACAGGCACAGGCCCTCTTGTCCTGAGGCTCTGGGAAACAGGACTGATGCCTCGTGTTCAAAGCCCTGAATTCTAACTCCTCCTCCACATATGTATGTCTTTGTACAAGGTGCTGCCTTTCTCTGGGCCATGGTGGCCTTTTCTGGAAAAAGAAAGGGTTAGTTATGACATGCAGCCACAAATAGCTGTAAATTTGGACTAACGGAATCATAAACTCAGTAAAAACAACAAAAAAAAGTTATCAAGATGGTGCGTGTGTGTGTGTGTGTGTGTGGTGTGTGTGTGTGTGTGGTGTGTGTGGTGTGTGGTGTGTGTGTGTGTGTGTGTGTGTGTGTGTGTGTGTGTGGTGTGTGTGTGTGTGGTGTGTGTGTGTGTGTGTGTGTGTGTGTGTGTGCGTGTGTGTGTGCGTGTGCGTGTGTGTGTGTGTGGACTGCATGGCTGTTGAGAGTTCAGGTGACAACTTGGTGTCACAGTGTCAGAAACGCTGGACACGCCTGGACCAGACTGATCTAGATTCCAAACTCAGTCATTGAGTTTGAAGCTGGGGGTGTGACTTAGACGCTGTGGTTTCTTGAATGAAGAGCCCTGACAGGCTCATACATGTTTGTCCTTGGTCAACTTGGTGGAAAGGAGTAGAAGGCAGAGCCTTGTTGGAGGAGGCGTGTCACCCGCGGCTCTGATGCTTCAGAAGCCAACAAGCGCCCCAGAATACTCTCTGCTTCCTGCTTGTGGATCTAGGTGTGAGCTCATAGCTGCTGTTCCAGATGCCTAAGGTCATGGTTATGTTGTGCAGGCAATTCAACTGGCCTGCCCTGAGGAGCCTTTACCTGCCCTGAGGAGCCTTTACCTGCCCTGAGGAGCCTTTACCTGCCCTGAGGAGCCTTTACCTGCCCTGAGAACGTCCTATGTCAGTACCTGAGTCCGATGACATCATCAAGGCCAGGTACTTTGGGTCCACTGCTCCACCCTTCCTCTCTTCCTCTCTTGCATTCTTCTCTGCTCTCTGTTGTCCCTCTGTCTCTCTGTCTCTGCCCTCATGGCTCACTCAGACCCTAACGCTCTTCTGCATCCATTCCCCCGAATAAGCTCTTTCATATAAGATCTGTTGTGTGTGCATGTGGCATCATTTTTAAATCCTAACAGCTCTGCCTTCCCTCGCCATCACACAGTCTGGAACCATGAGCCCAATTAAGTGTTTCCTTTTATAATTTGCCTTGGTCATAGTTTTTTGTCACAGCAACAGGAAAATAACCACTATAGAAGTAGACACTTGCCTGGCTTGCATGAAGCCCTGGGTTCTATTCCCAGCAGCATTTTAAAAAAAAAAAAAAAAAAGTTCAGGTGATTCCAGGGTAAAACCCAGGGTTCCGGGGCCCCTGAGTGGTGGAGGACTCTGCAAAGAGAGATAACCAACTCGGTGCCATAAAGCAGAAGTTCAAAGGACACGTGGTGGGGAAGAAGCCACAACAGGAAATGAAAATTAAAGCTTCCATCTGACTTATTCACCCCATAGCATGAAGTGTGGGGAACTTGCTTTACTCTACCCTCCCTCCATTCTGATGGCTCATCACACACATGCTCCTGCTCTGAGCTGTATCAGGGCTCAGCAGACCCCTGCTTATCGCTGAACCTGGCCGTGAGCGTATGGCAATCAGGAGTCAGCAGACCCCTGTGAAAGCAACAAAGGCCTCTGACTCATATGCAGGGGAAACCTACATGGCAAGAGCCTCCTGTCTAGTCAGAGAGAACCCGAAATTCCACCAACAGGGTTACGCAGAGAATGATGAGCAGGAGGGAGTGAAGATGAAGCCTGAGCTACGTAGATGTGAGGCCCTGCCAGAAATGAGACTGGGGATTCCAGAGACAATGAGAGCAGAGGGTATCAACTGTACATTTTGTTGGCTTTGTAGCTCTGGCCTCTCAGGAAGTTGAGCATGTAACAGGATAAGACATTACTGGCAACAGGGAACTGAGGGTGTAGGAAGAGAGGGGCCCTGTGGAAGTCCACACCCTGTACGTGACCCAGCTGCCACTGCAGGGCTTCTCCCCAAATCAGACTGCTGCCTGAACACCCCCTCTATCGCTCTGCCCAGGCCGAAGCTCTCAACTTACATGGCTATAAGGCGGGCCACGGTAGTCTTGAAGCGGTCAAAGATGTAGCCCGTGGGAAAGGTCATGAAGTTGTTCATGAAGGATGCCAGGGTGAAGATGAGTGAGAACTTCTCATCCTGAGATTTGGAGTCTGGGAAAGAAACGCTCTTAGCAACCCCGGTTATGCATGATTCGGAACAAGAATCGCCCCAACCTTCCTGCCAGGTAAATTCTCAGACAGCCCCAAGACTAGACTCCCCTCTACCCTGAACAGCTTTTTGGATTGGAAAGCTGATTATCAAGTTGCATTAAAACAGAGAGGTCTCTCAAGGCCTTTACAAGCTGCACTTTCTTCCTTAGCACCCTCCACACTGTGGCAGCAGGGGGCTGCTGACGACTGCCTCCATCAAAGAAAGTCTGGTAAGGTGAGTGGCAAATGGCGTCCTCGTGTGTGTGTGTGTGTGTGTGTGTGTGTGTGTGTGTGTGTGTTTGAGACAGGGTTTCTCTGTGTAGCCCTGGCTGTCATGGACTCGCTTTGTAGAGCAGGCTGGCCTCGAACTCACAGCGATCCACCTGCCTCTGCCTCCTGAGAGCTGGGATTGAAAGGGTGTACCACCAAGCTGGGCTCTCTATTCTTTCCCCCGTCCCTGCGAACAGCTGCCTTTAAAGGCCGTCCTTGTCCTTACCAGGGGGCTCTGTTGCATTGCTCCAATGCCAGCAGTCCTGGCCACAGGACCTTTCAAAGTACTTTTCTTTTTTGAACACAAACAACAGTGAAGTCCAGCCAAAGAGGACACCGGCAAAACCGATACATTCCAACAGCCCGGTCAAGAGGGTGGCCAGGTAAAGGGGCAGGCCTCGGTGAGCCATGGTCTGAGGTGAAGTGGATCAGCAAACCCTATCCCGAACGTCTGAGACGGACCACTGGTGGGGATGTGTGGAAATTCTCTTTGGCAAACCCTTGACTTCAGAACCTTCTTGTTCCAGCTGTCCCTGGGTTGGGCAAGAGGCACCATGGAATGGTCTGTCCGGATCCCGGAAGAAAAGGCAGGAGCAGCCTGGTACAAGAAGCCTGTGGAAAAGGCAGCAGCGGAAAAGCGGTCCTCAGGAGAAGGGCTGTGGTGCTCTGGGAAGTGAACCAAACTTTCACACACGACCAGGGAATGTAGCTTAGCAGCGATAGTCAATTATCAGAGTTCAATCTCAAACGTGGAAAGACAAAAAAAAAAAAAAAAATACCAAAAGCCCCAAAACTGTTCACTCCTGCTTTCGTTCACGGCATCTGTGCATCTGTAAGGCGGGGGTCTCAGTGGTAACACATGCCTTAGAGGGGAAAACCATCCTGCCCAGTATTTAGGGGCATCACAAGAGGTGGGGACCCCTGACTTGGAAGTCTGAATGAAATGCACAGGCGCAGCCACCCCAGCCATTCACAGGACATGAGGGGCCCTACACCTGCTAATGCTCCATCTAGCAGCTAGCGCTCTTCAGGGAGACATAGTGAAACAAAAACTTCTGAAGGTTTCTTCAAGTTGCGCCAGGGTCACTAGGCAAAAATACCCAACAAGACCCTTGTGTGGGAGCACAATCCCCACGCCCCCTGCCTCCACCGACACCCGCCAACTTCCACCAGGCCCAGAGGTGGCGCCCCATCCCGCAGCCGCTCCCTCCCAGATCGCTGTCCCCGCAGCCCCACCGCCATCAGGCCGCCACCCTGCGCCGCCCTGTCTGCCCCTGCCAGGCCCGACCCAGCCTTGCCCGACCTGACCGGGCCCGGTGTCCTACCCGGTCCTGCCCGCGCGCGCCGAGCCCTGGGTCCTGCACGCGCCTGGGCCGGGTTTCCTTGCTCTCATCGCCCCTCCCAGTCCTCTGCTCACCTCCTCCCGCTTGCCCCTTCCCGTAAGGGCTTGGGACCCGCCCCCCGGTCTCCATCACTTCCTTCTTCTTCTCGCTCTCTCTCTCTCTCTCTCTCTCTCTTTTTTTTTTTTTGAAACCTTCTTTTTCCCTACCTCAACAGCTGCCTAGGATTCGGACAGGGTGTCTTTTGCTCTCTTTTGGCTGGCTTTAAGCCATTAGGTTACCCTGCCTCTGCCGTCCCTAACCAAGGTAGTTTTAACAGTTCCAGGAACTGGTCCAGCCGTAGAGGTCAAAGGGCACAGCGCGTGGATGCAAGCACATTTCCAGCGCTTTACCTTGTCCACTTAAGTCGGCAGGGATACAGTGTTTCCCCCTTGCCCATCAGCTCACTCCCCGCCCCAAACTTACCCCCAAAACTGCCAAGAAAACCCCACCGTAAAATCAGGGAGCTGGAATCAGGACAGAGGTGCTTATCAGAAACCATCACTGGAGGAGCCCTTGCATTTCACCCCTAAGGACCCTTGTCATTCTCCCCCCCCACACGTGCTGAAACCCCCGGCCCAGGTTCTGAGAAAGGCTTCCTGCCAGACTGCATTGATTAACTATTCATTCATCACCCCATTTTTTATTAATCAAAGACATTTATAATTGCCCATCGGAGCTTGTGATCAGCATGAGATAGCTGGCCTAACCAGCTGTGTTGCTCAGCCCAGCGCAGAGCAAATGAGCTGATGTCTTCCTCTCCTGGGCCGAAGTTTTCTCCTCTCCCTTGAGAGAGAGTTCCTTAGGCATTGGATGGGACCTGTGCCCAGCTTCTGGCTCAGCCCTCTTTCCAAAGAAAAAACAGAAAGATGGTGGGAAGGCCAGCACCAGAAGAGTTTTCCAGATTACTACCGAACAGAGTATCAAAAAAAGGCTGTTCAAGGGGCTTACTGCGATGGGGGGAGGGGGTGCTGTGGTCCTGCACCCTACAGACTTCAACTGGGGCTGGCTGAGTGGCTCTAAAATGGGTGCAGAGCACCGCAGTTACCAGAGCTGTCCTCAAAGAGGCGTCAAGTACATATGAAGCCCCCTGGAGCAGAGGGAAATGGGCTTTCCAGAGAAGGAGCTTAGTGGAGAATCCTAAAAGGAATTTGCCTCAGGTCATGCCACACATCATAAAAGTTGCCCATTCCCCAAACATCTGCTCTCAACTCATCCAGTCTTTCTTCTCCTCCTCCTTCTCCTCCTCCTCTTCTTCTCAGAGATAGGGTTTCCATGTGTCGCCCTGGCTGTCCTGCACTGCCTCTGCAGACCAGGCCAGCCTCGAACGCCCAGAGATCTGCCTGCCTCTGCCTCTCTGGGTACTGGGGTTACAGGCATTGCCACCGCGCCTGGCTCAACTCATCCAGACTGAACGCCAGATACTGAAACATTGCAGAAAACATTTTTAAATTAAATTTTAAAGAAAGAAGGGAGGGTGAGGATGGAAAACTAAAAATACAACAACTCAAGACAAAAGGAAGCACAGAGAAAGATTTTTCTGTTTTACTGCAAGTCACAGAGACACTGCTATGAATGCAAGCCCGGTCTCTGCATGGGCTCCTGTGTTGCTCTCCTGAGGACCTGCTGCATAAGGAAATGGAAAGAGCAAAGGAAGAACAGGAAAGGTCAAAGCCGAGATAGAGAGAATTTAGAATGCAAAACAGCAGGAGTAGTCAGGAGGGCTCACAAGCAGGCCAGAGCACACAGCATCACAAGCTAGGCAGTTCCTCTCTGTCAGGGAGGAGCCTCACCCTATACCCCACTTGACTGTGCAGGAAGCTCTGCCTCTAGCAACATGACAGGCCTGCAGCCACTGTCGAGTGCGGTTCTGAGACTATCCCGAGCCTTGGTCCTGTCTGCTTCAGTCCCTGCAGCTGGCTGCTCTGCTGCTGCAGATGCTGCGGGAGCTGTTCTGAGAAGCTGCTCTCCAGTGAGGACTTTCTCACAGCATCAGAGAGACATCAGAGTGGTTATAATAAGATCTGACTGGAGCACCAGCATCCGCAGCCTTTCTGTTCATCTCCTTCCCTTTCACTCCATTCCCTTATTGTTATTAATTTTGATTGCCTGGCTCAATGAATACCTGCAAAGCATGAGGCTCTGTGCTGGGTACCAGAATTCAGGAACTCAGACACCTCATTTTTTTTAATTCAACTTTATTTTTCATAATTTACTCAATTTACGTCCCTTGTCTTCTCCCGGTCTTACCTCCCTCCATCTTCCTCCCTCTTCCCTTCCCCTATTTCTCAGAAAAGGGGAGTCCTCCTCTTTTACCATTTGACCTCAGCCTATAAAGTCTCATCAGGACTGCCTGGATCCTCTTCCTCTGTGGGTGGTGCCACCCCACCAGGGGGAAGTGATCAAGGAGCAGGCAACAGAGTTCATGTCACCCATATAGAGACTGAGCTGCCTATGGGCTCCATCCGAGCAGGGGGTCTAGGTCCTTTCTACGCATGATCCTTGGTTGCTGCATCAGTCTCTGGAGGACCCCCATGGGCCCCGATTTGTTGACACTGTTGGTCTTTTTTGGAGAGCCTGTCTTCTCTGGGTCCTTCTATTCCTATGACTCCCTACCCTCTACCCAAAGTTTGGCTGTGAATCTTAGCATCAGCTTTGCTCCCCTGCTGGGTGGAGTCTTTCAGAGGCATCTGTGGTAGGCATCCATTCTGTTCTCTGTCTTCAATTGCTTCCAGTGTCTATTCTATTTGTCCTTCTGAATGAGAATTAAGCGTCCTCCCTAGAATCCTCCTCCTTTAGGTCTGTGGATTGTAGCAGGGTTATTTTGTATTATATGGCTAATATCCGCTTATAAGTGAGTACATGCCATGTGTGTCTTTCTGCTTCTGGAATACGTCACTCAGGATGATCTTTTCAAGTTAGCACCATTTGCCTGCAAATTTCATGATTTCCTTGTTTTTAATAGCAGAGTAGTATTCCATTGTGTGAATGTACCACAATTTCTGTATCCATTCCTCCGCTGAGGGGCATCTGGGCTGTTTCCAGATTGTGGCTGTTACAGATAAAGGCAGCTCATCCTTAAGCCAAGGAGGCAAAGAAGACCCAGCAAGAGAACGTCCTTTCAGACAGAGATGAGCATAATACTTTCAACTAACAAATGGGGCCAGGACAGAGCCTAGACAGAGTAAGAACATTCTGGAACCAAGACAGATACTGGCAAGGGCAGTGGCAAGGCTTAGGCCAGAGCAGGTACCTGGATGAAGGTATTTGAAGTTCTGCCCATATCAATCAGTCCTATTGATTCCACCTCTTTACATCTATCTTGCTTACCCTTGGCTACTTCCATAGCCAGATACTCATCTTTCACAGGCTTTACCTACCTCTGTGCCATGAGCACATCTGCCCTACAGGGTTCCCATTGGATAACACTATTTACCTGTTTGAATTCTTTCCCATGAACCAGCTGGTGAGGGCTAGCCCAGGTTCTGGGATAAAAGCTATGAATACCACATGGACTTATGTGGCTAGCCACACAAGGCAAAATGAATGAGCTGTATCAAATATGGAGGTGAAAAGACCAGGGCTGTAGCTCAGCTGAGTGCCTTCCTAGCATGAAGCATGAATCCTGGGTTCCAACCTTGTCACTGTTGGTAAAGGAGCTCACCTGTAGCCAAGACATCCTGGCTACATAACAAGTCAAAGGCCAGCCTGGGCTACGTGGAACTCTGTCCATGTAGACAGATGATGGATGGATGGATAGATGGATGGATGGATGGATGGATGGATGGATGGATGGACGGACGGACGGACAGACAGATAGATAGATAATGGATGGATGGACAGATGGACAGATGGATGGACGGATGGACGGATGGATGGATGGATGGATGGATGGACAAACGGACAGATGGATGGATGGATGGATGGATGGATGGATGGACAGACGGACAGATGGATGGATGGATGGATGGATGATGGATGGACGGATGGACGGACAGACAGATAGATAGATAATGGATGAATGGACAGATAGACAGACAGATGGACATATGGACGATGGACGGATGGATGGATGGATGGATGGACAGATGGACAGACGGATGGATGGACGGATGGACAGACAGACGGATGGATGGACGGATGGATGGACGGATGGACGGATGGATGGACGGACAGACAGATATTCCTGGTACAGACAAAGATCAGATCCTCAGTCCCCCCACCCCCCCACCCCACCTTCCAGGACAACCCCATCTCCCCTCTAATGATCTTCACTGGTAGAACCCTGACCCCCCATCTCTGGCCACTCCTCCCTGGGAAGGGTTCACAAACATGTTTTTAAACCCCCTTTCCAGAAAAATAAGCTGCGAGCCTTTTCAGAGAAAGGGTTCTGCTTTCTGATATTCCAAGAATACAAACAAGCCAGTGTTCTCAAAGGGTCAGAATTGATAGAACAAACTGACAAATCTATATATCAGTAAGGGATTTTTAAAAAAGATTTAAAGTGGGTTCCTACATACAATAATCCAACCCACATACAGTGATCCAATCCCTCACAGGTGTGCCCTGCTGCTGGGGTTTTAGTTAGTTCCAAATGTAGTCAAGTTGACAACAGAGATTAGCCATCACATTGCCTTTCAAAAATGTAGGCTTGTGAGAATCCAAATATCTGGCTCTCCCACCTACAGACTCAAAAAGGGCATGGAGAGCCTGTTTTGAAATGTAAAAAATCAAAAGGTGAATGCAAACATTTCCTTTCCATTTCCATCCTCCAGAGGTAATGCCAGAAAAAAAAAAAAAAAAATCAGTAGCATGTTGACAGCAAACTACTTACTCTCTGGCACGCCTCTCCTCCATAAAATCATCAGGTTGTGGTGTGGATTACAGGTAATGTACAAAATTGCCCGACTACAATACACTGGCTAATACTGTTGTTAACAAAAACTATTTAATTACAGAAAAATCAACAAGAAATTAATCCAAAAAGGAAAATGAG